AGTGCACATTAGGAATGTCTAAATATAGGGAAAAAAAACAGTGAACTAAAGGGATTACATGGGGGTTGCCATGAAGCAATAGTCTCCCTGCGTTCTCATGTATGTGTTCACTTTAAGCTTCTAAACAAATAGGTGACCTAACCGTGACTACAAGGGAGGTGAGATGCAGACAGAGATCAAGCTGACAGATGTGGCAGATGTGTCAGTCCTTACCCAGGGAGGTAGATCCCTCTTGGCTCTGAAAACCTTCTCGGTGGTGAACTCCTTCTCGTTCTCCAGCAGGTACATGGCAGACTTGAGCCTCATCACTTTCTCCAGTCGACTGTGCTTCCATCCCATGTAGATCATCAGACCGAACAGCACGACGCTGATGCTGAAGCCATAATACCCCGCCAGGTACACGGGCAGCAGAGCACCGAGGCATTTTCCAAACGACCACAGCACGCTGACTGCGCGTTCCGCAGGAGGTTGGCTCGGAGAGGCCGAGGCTGCAGTCGCGGTGCCACCGCTCATGCCCGACCCTGCAGCCGCAGCTGGCATGGCACAAGATCCGCTTGACTTCACTGGCTTGAACCGAGCCTTCAAATCTTCGGCAAGCGCCTGTAAACACTTACCACCGCGTTGTTACAGCAACCATGCACAAGTCGGCGAGAAACTGCGGGGGGGTACGGAAGGGTTAAATCATGATCACGACTTTTCTTCTCCCTCTCACTTCCGCAGGTCTCCGTACTGTTCTATTTCATTTACGTGTAAAGCTTCTCCCAGAGAGCAGGGCAAGCAGAGACCAAGACCCGAGAGGGCGGGCTCAGCTCGAAGCCCTCCTTCACATGAAATCCAGTAGAAACCTAAACCCTAGAATTAACTTGTAGCGTCACGCACTGCCTCGGGCGGAGCGTATTACAGTCTATATGCAAAGTAAAGCCATTTCTGTTCCACCTGAGGACCCCGGGGAACACGTTTTTTGGGGTAACATCACTACCATCATCATTATGTAAACCAAAGGAACAACTACGCCCCAAATGCTGAGCTGCTCAGTCCGTTATCTTCCTCGTATAACCGGAATAAATCCTCCTGCGCGCGCAAGCGCTCCTCTCCACTGCAGCAGCTTTACTACTGAGCCTGACAGCGCCAACAGGTTCATTGACAGAAAGGTGCACTGGCTCTGCTCCTGCACATGCAGCAGCCCTGTGCTGCTGTGCTGTCCGTTTTTTTTTTTTTGTTTTTTTTTTTACTACAACAGAGTCCGAGCAGCAGCAGCAGCAGCAGCAGCAGAGTCGTGACACCATCAGGATGTGCGTCAAATTGCCAAAGTTGCGCATCTGCAGGTCAAATGAGGGATTTTGAAAAAAAAAAAAAAGCACTTTGCAGAATTTGACAGCCATTGTGGTTTTACCTGCGGTTCTCATTAATAGCTTCATTTATGCCTTTCTGGAAACAGGCAGGCTTTAAATAGCCTCCCTGTTGCCTGGTTACAGCCGGTTATCTGTATTTGCTCGGAGGGTGAAGAGTTAGATGATCACTTACGCACACAGACATGCTGCATGAAGAACATGAGTCACATGTCCCCAAAGCAGCAAAATCTTATAGATTTCAAATGCATTGAGATTTTAGCATAGTTTTAGATTATAAGAAATGTAGAGATCAAGTTTATTAGGTTTAAGTTATTCCCAGAATATGCATACATTTAAATGATCCCATCTTTCACCATCTGTTCTTATAACTAGCCATCCTCACTATTTACACTTTGGTGTTATAACCTACCACATTTTGACACGCATATTTACATGCTACATTACATTTTACGTGTTATTTCTTTGAATTTACTGTCGTCTTGTTGATTTTGTTTATCGTACACTTTGATGTTGGACAATGTTTTTTTGTTTGCAATGACTGTGTCCTTTTAAGACAGTAAAAAACAAGCTTCTTTTTTTTTTCCTTCTGCACCAGAAGCAGAAGTGTTGTCACAGGATCATGAGCTTTATGTGTGATGTTGAAATGATGCAAACCAGATAAAAGAAGAAAGGTTGAGGTTCAAACTAGACCTCATGTCAGTCATGTGTCAGTTTGGTCTTGTCAATACTTAGCATGAGGTTTTGGTCAATAGTGCAAACGTTTACATTTTAAGGCAACAAGAAAAGCTCTTGATTGAACTTTGATTCAATCATGATGAGTCGACAAGTTAGTTCTTTATCTTGATTTATCAGGGTACTAACAAAGTGTAAGACAACAAATGATTTTGCTGTTCATGTTTGTGTGACTGTACAGAATGTTCAGTATTCATGTGATCAGTGTTTTTATGCTGAAACGTTACATTTGTCCCTTTAAGTCAGACTTTGTAGATTGATCAAGACAGATATGGGACACTTTAATGAAAGTACCGTGGATTCTATGTTATATTTTTGAACATTCCTTTATTTTTATTATTTATTTTTTTTAGAAGCATGTAACTACATCATCTACTGCATGCTGTATTAGCCGCAACTGCAAATTCAAAAGATGTTTGGAATAAGTTTGACTCTTTCTAATTATATAAAGTTAGGAATCTAAAAAGCAGGAATAAAATTTGGGGTCATTACCTTTAGGACAGCAGCTAACATTTTCTTTATCGATTGAGCTGCAGAGTATTTTCTTGGATGATCGATTGCTTTTGTTGTCGAAAAAGAATCCTGTGTGAAATCCCTGTTATAAATCCACAGCCTAAGACAGTACCTTCAGAAGTGTTGTTTTACTGTCTGGTTTACAACCCCAGAACCAGACACATCTGTTTGCGCAATAAAAAGCCATGACTTAAGTGTTGTCCTCCAGCCCCTACTCCCCCCATGTTTTTTTACAGTTCAGTAAATTCTTGCAACTCTAACCTTTCCCTCAGAGTTATGACACAGCTTTAATACGTTTTAATGTTTACTGGCTCCTTCAATTAGACTTTTTTCATTACACTGAAGTCGATACGAGTTACAGACATTTCTACCCTGAAGTTTTACCCTCTGAAAATATCCAGCATTCTAAAACTGTACTTGGCGTTCACTGATGAGGAGAGTCAACAGTATTTATGTAGTTGCCCTTTAAGTTACGTCATCTGTTTGAGCAGGACTACTGTTGAAACTCTGCCAGCATGAACTCAAGCCAACAGGAGATGTCAATAAACAAAGGAACATAATTCAGGTAGTTACAGCTAGAGATGATATTACTGAGCACAGACAGGTTGTCACCTTGTAATAGATTACATCTGTTCTATGACCGGGGTGCAGGGTGGCGCAGTTGGTAGCACTGTTGCCTCGCAGCAAGAAGGTTGCCGGTTCGGTTCCTGGGGGCACTGGAATCTTTCTGCGTGGAGTTTGCATGTTCTCCCCGTGCAGCATGGGTTCTCTCCGGGTTCTCTGGCTTCCTCAAAACACAGTCCAAAAACTTGCTTGGTGATTCTAAATTGTGAATGTGTGCTTGGTTGTCTGTCTCTAAGTGT